TTTTCCTTGTTTAGTTTTCTATGTTTTTCGTTCTAGTTCGTGTATTTCTATGTTGGCCAGGGTGGTTCCCAATCAGGGACAGCTGTAGCTCGTTGTCTCTGATTGGGGACCATACTTATGCATCCTGTTGGCACATGTTTATTGTGGGATCTTGATCCGTAAGGTTTGTTGTTTAACCTAGGACTTCACGTATCGTTTGTTGTTTTGTTTTGGTCGTGTGTTAAGTACGTAATAAAGAATGTACGCATATCACGCTGCGCCTTGGTCCGCTGTTTATAACGATCATGACAGAAGATCCCACCAAAACAGGACCAAGCAGCGTGTTCAGGAACAAACGCCGGGTAAGGAACAGGAGGTTGCTCTAGTGGATGTCCTCCTCGGTTGGGGGAAGATCACGGAGGAGGAGGCCGTCCGCTACCGGAGGGCGATGAGGGAGGATGCCCAGGCAGGAGAGGAGAAGCGGCGCCAACCGGGCCGTCGTCGGACAGGCGAGAGGCAACCCCAATAATTTTTTTTGGGGGGGGGCACACGGCATGGACGACGGGGCTGCTGGAGGCAGCTACAGGGCGAGTTTGCGGACTAGGAGAGGAGGCCACCAGGTTACGGGGGCCATTGGTCATGAGAGGAAAGGAGAGTGTAGAGGCACGGCGAGAGGTACTGGGGTGTGTTACCAGTCCGGTCCGGCCCGTTCCTGAACCCCGCACAAGGCCAGTGGTGTGTCTTCCCAGTACGGTCCGGCCTGTTCCTGTCCCCCGCACCAAGCCTGTGGTGCGCGTCGCCAGCCCGGTCCGGCCTGTTCCTGCTCCCCGCACCAAGCCTGTGGTGCGCGTCGCCAGCCCGGTCCGGCCTGTTCCTGCCCCTCGCACCAAGCCTGTGGTGCGCGTCGCCAGCCCGGTCCGGCCCGTTCCTGCTCCCCGCACCAAGCCTGTGGTGCGCGTCGCCAGCCCGGTCCGTTCCTGCTCCCCGCACCAGGCCAGGGGTGCGCGTCGCCAGCCCGGTCCGGCCTGTTCCTGCCCCTCGCACCAAGCCTGTGGTGCGCGTCGCTAGCCCGGTCCGGCCCGTTCCTGCTCCCTGCACCAAGCCTGTGGTGCGCGTCGCCAGCCCGGTCCGGCCCGTTCCTGCTCCCCGCACCAGGCCAGGGGTGCGCGTCGTCAGCCCGGTCCGGCCCGTTCCTGCTCCCCGCACCAAGCCAGTGGTGCGCGTCGTCAGCCCGGTCCGGCCCGTTCCTGCTCCCCGCACCAAGCCAGTGGTGCGCGTCGTCAGCCCGGTCCGGCCCGTTCCTGCTCCCCGCACCAAGCCAGTGGTGCGCGTCGTCAGCCCGGTCCGGCCCGTTCCTGCTCCCCGCACCAAGCCTGTGGTGCGCGTCGCCAGCCCGGTCCGGCCCGTTCCACCGGTGCCTGGTCCGGCACCGGTCAGCTGCTCCACGCCTGAGCCAGAGCAATCCGCTCCACCGGTGTTCAGTCCAGCTCCGGCCAGCGGGGCCAGACCAGACCAGGGGCGCAACGGAGGGGTAGGGAGAGTGTGGTGGTCACGCCCGGAGCCGGATCCGCCTCCGAGGCGGAATGCCCACCCGGCCCCTCCCCTGTTGTGTTTGGTTGGCGCGGTCGCAGTCCGCGCCTTTGGGGGGGGGGGGGGGGGGGGGGTACTGTCACGCCCTGGCTCTGGGGACTATTAAATGTTGAGCCAGGGTGTGGATTTTCCTTGTTTAGTTTTCTATATTTTTCGTTCTAGTTCGTGTATTTCTATGTTGGCCAGGGTGGTTCCCAATCAGAGACAGCTGTAGCTCGTTGTCTCTGATTGGGGACCATACTTATGCAGCCTGTTGGCACATGTTTATTGTGGGATCTTTATCCGTAAGGTTTGTTGTTTAACCTAGGACTTCACGTATCGTTTGTTGTTTTGTTTTGGTCGTGTGTTAAGTACGTAATAAAGAATGTACGCATATCACGCTGCGCCTTGGTCCGCTGTTCGTGACATCCTCCAAACACGGCGAGTTGAGTTGATGCCAAAGAGCTCGATTTTGGTCTCATCTGACCACAACACTTTCACCCAGTTCTCCTCTGAATCATTCAGATGTTCATTGGCAAACTTCAGACGGGCCTGTATATGTGCTTTCTTGCGCAGGGGGACCTTGTGGGCGTTGCAGGATTTCAGTCCTTCACGGCGTAGTGTGTTACCAATTGTTTTCTTGGTGACTATGGTCCCAGCTGCCTTGAGATCATTGACAAGATACTCCCGTGTAGTTCTGGGCTGATTCCTCACCGTTCTCATGATCATTGCAACTCCACGAGGTGAGATCTTGCATGGAGCCCCAGGCCGAGGGAGATTGACAGTTCTTTTGTGTTTCTTCCATTTGCGAATAATCGCACCAACTGTTGTCACCTTCTCACCAAGCTGCTTGGCGATGGTCTTGTAGCCCATTCCAGCCTTGTGTAGGTCTACAATCTTGTCCCTGACATCCTTGGAGAGCTCTTTGGTCTTGGCCATGGTGGAGAGTTTGGAATCTGATTGATTGATTGCTTCTGTGGACAGGTGTCTTTTATACAGGTAACAAACTGAGATTAGGAGCACACTCTTAAAGGGAGTTCCCTCATTAAAATGCAAATCAATTTAAAATATTTTTTACATGCGTTTTTCTGGATTTTCGTTGTTGTTATTCTGTCTCTCACTGTTCAAATAAACCTACCATTAAAATTATAGACTGATCATTTCTTTGTCAGTGGGCAAACATACAAAATCAGCAGGGGATCAAATACTTTTTTCCCTCACTGTAGCTGTGCAGCAACGCTCCCCATCCAACATGACAGAGCTTGAGAGGATCTGCAGAGAAGAATGGGAAGAACTCTCCAAAAACAGGTGTGCCAAGCTTGTAGCGTCATACCCAAGAAGACTCGACGCTGTAGTCGCTGCCAAAGGTGCTTCAACAAAGTACTGAGTAAATGTGATATATCCTTTTTTTTTTTTTTTTTTTATCTAAAAACGTATTTTTACTTTGTCTTTATGGGATATTGTGTGCAGATTGATGAGGAAAAAAATATTTAATCAATTTTAGAATAAGGCTGAATACTTTCCGAAGGCACTGTACATCAAAACACAATAATGTTGAGGTAAAGACCCCTGCCAACTAATATCAACACTTATATTTAGTTTTTGGAGAAATTGTTTACCTTCTGTAAATTTAAGAAATATTGCCTTGTGCTTTGCAATTCTGTTACCAAAACTCACATAAGATATTTTCTAAAGTTCACAGAAGTAACAAGTAATGGTAGACCTATCATTTAGTTATAGTGATTTTACTGATATCAATTTTGTTTATGAATTATTAAGTTATTAAAACTTGTAATTCCGTTACCAAATTGGTAACGGAATTACAAAAAAATCTGTAACAGAATTACTGCAACTGAATTGGCTACAATGGGAAATCATAATAGTCACAAACCACAGTTGGGTCACTTGCTACTGTCCTCCCTTCCACTGGCATACTGTTATGTTCAGCTCATAAATGTTTTTCGACTGTAAATCTCTCTGCATAAGAGCGTCTGCTAAATGACTAAAATGTAAAATGTGGTCAAACCAAGTGTTAGAATCTGGACAACCCCTCTCTCTCAGTCTCCCTCTCCCTCTCCATCTCTCACTATCCAGTTAATGTCACCTCTCCCGGATCTTACTGACACCTGCCCATGAGCCCCCTCTCTTTCCATTTACTGTAACCAGCATCCTCACCCACTGAGCACCGACCGACACTAGACGTCCATGGACGTTGAAAAGTAGTTGACATTTGGTCAGGCTCAGTTCACCCTGGCCTTGATGTTAACGTCCACAGATGGACCAGACTGGACCAAATCTGAACCTATCAGTTTGGATAGCTCAGTACAGTACAGTGAGTAAAGCACAGTAGAGTACAGCACAATACAGTACAGTACTGAGCACTGTACTGTAGATTACAATACAGTACAGTGAGTAGTGCGCAGTACTGTACAATACCATACAGTAAAGAAAAGTAGAGTACAGTATATTGTACTGTTCTCTACTGTACTGAACTATACTGTACTGTACTCTACTGCACTGTACTGAACTCTGCTGTACTGTGCTGTATTGTACTGCACTGTACTATACTGTGCTCTGCTGTGCTGCGCTATTCAAACTTGTGAAACATGAAGAGAATGACATTAATATCCATAATTATGCATTTCTGTGTAGCACAGATCAGGGATCCATGATGTAATTATGTTACCGGGTGTAAATCCCCTTCACTTACTGTAGTTCAATAACCAAAATAGATTATTTCAAACTCAAGGTGCCATGTCATAGTTGACACCCCATTATTTTTGCAGACATCTTTTAATCTTAATTCGGAGCACATCTTTTTGGGAAACGTGGTTGCATAAAAACCTGAGGGGTGACTTTACCATAATTCAGTTACCACAGTCAGCATCTTCAAAGTTTTTCCACTAAATTCGTTTTTGTACATTTTTAAGTGGAAATTGTTACAAGTAGTCCTTGTGCATAGCTTTGAAATCAATGTTTTTTGTTTGGCAAACATGTTAAAGTGAAAGCGTAATTCCATTATCGTGGAATTGCCCTCTAAAATCTATACTCTGTTACTTGCATTGGGCATACTGATTTATTTTCACTTTGGCTGTGATTCAGTGCTAACATTTCTAGAGACCTTTGGACCCAAGTAGGCACTGTTGACACATGATACGGCCCTGGGTGGCAGAGTTTGGTTAGGGAGAAACGTGAGCAAGCTCTTTTTCACGAAGAAACATGTTGTCGAAGGGGATCACAGAGACAGAGGCAACAGCAGCAGAGCAACAAGTCTAACTTTTACATCAAGAGCCGCACACCGCACGCACGAGTCATTCCATTGCCAGGATCAAAGGGACGGAAGTGTTTCATGCGTGGAGAGTGCATATTATTTCATACTATCTAGAAAACATGAACTTGAACTGCGAGTTGCTATTTGACTTCAGCATCTACAGGGATTCTTGAGGTGGAACATGGCAAGGGGGATGAAGGGAGCTCATCCCGCCGCTTTATTATGTACTTTCACGCTCTTGCTTTGGGGGGACGTTTACGCGCAACTGTCTTTTAACGAAATAACGGGGTTTAGTTTGAGTCCTCCGTACTTCAACCTCGCAGAGGGGTCACGGATCTCCGCCACCGCAACGTGCGGTCAAGATGAAACCGGGAGACCGAGATCGGATTTGTACTGTAAACTTGTCGGAGGACCTACATTCGGACTTCCTAGTCAAACCATACAGGTGAATAGTGAAAGAAATTTACAGTTTTATGATTGTGGTTTCATTTTGAAAGGTTAATATTGTTGACCACTTTCTGCCTTTTCTTTTTCAGACAGCTAATAATGTTAACAGTTCAAATGTAAGTTGTAAGTACGCAAGAAATTGGCATGAGTGCGTGGGTTAAAACGCAAAATATGAACGCACATGAGTTAATAGAGTTGTTCTGAACATGAAGTGGACGGATAGCCTACCAACAGAAAAACAACTCATCCATAAAATCGTATTTGTATTATCGAGTTTTTTCCTTGCAAGCTACTGATTTTCTTATGATTTTTCCTTCCATACATAAATATATTTATATTCCCATGTGAAATACCATATTTAGAGTTACAATGTTATTACAGTTGAATCAATGCTCCTTGCTTCCTTTCTCTTGCTCCCAGGCTCCATAATGAGTCACTATAGCACCATGGGAAACATTGGCAATTCTGCCTGCTCTGACCAAGTTGTATGCCTGCCAGAAATAGTTTACACCATTGTGTTTTAACTCCTGACCTCTCCAAAGGGAATAAACTTGCCTCTTCAGGAGTTTGAATACCTTTGGAACACTAAGGCGCAGGGGCTTTAAAACCTACACAAAGAAGGGTCCCAGAAGGCCTAAATATTGCTTTTTACCAGTATTGTATAGCAGAATATTGATTTACTGTTACAGTATTTCCAGATATCGGTTTTACCATTGTTCCTACTATTGCATGTATTTACTTGCAGTCTGCAAAGTGTTTGTCTATGTTTGCATGGTTCGTATTTTGTGTAACTTGTTATGTACACTGTGACTGTGGCCTATTCATTGACTTGAATGAATGTTTACTATGCACTGAATGTGTGGCTTTGTGTTGGTGGGACTCTATTTATATGTGTTTATGTGTTTTGGGCTCAGAGTAACACCATTTCATTGGGCCTTTCCCTGCAGGGACAGTATTGTGACCGATGCAACTCCAATGAGCCAAACAAGGCCCACCCAGTGAGCAACGCCATCGATGGCACCGAGCGCTGGTGGCAGAGCCCACCTCTCTCCCGTGGACCCATGTACAATGAGGTTAACGTCACCTTGAACCTCGGACAGGTGAGTGAGAAAAACCCTGGTGGTCTTGCATTGGTTCCTACTCAGCCAAGTGCTCTACCTTCATGGTGACTGTTGTTTGATTGACAACGTTACTCTGGTGAGAGTATGAAATGTAACAGTGGGATGTCATGAGGTGAATAGAGACAAGGTTTTCTCTTTCTCAGCTAATTCGAGGTGCATTATGTCATTGGTGTGAGGTGGCAACTTGCCTTCAGTGATGTAGACAGACAACACTATACAGTGGTCATCTTAAAGAGGGTCTGAGAGGATGAATGGCAATGAGTGGGAAGTTAGTTTTTCTGCTTCTTCACTGCACTGTTCAGTGTTTTGGAGTTGATTCTGGCCATCGTCGACATGAGTGTGTGGAGATAATTGCTGATTGCTGAGGTGAAGCAGAGTGGCTGTGTGCAATGTTCCCTCACATTTTTTTAGGCACTGAGCAAATTTCAGGTCTATGGAGGGCAAACTTGAACGTTGTGAAAATTCTGTGCAACTTCCAGCGTGCATTTACTGTGAACACTGAGGCTGTACCCATTTTAAGTTACAGTTTTAACAGTGGCCAAGTAGGCTACTCTGGCCATCAGTGGAGGCTGGTGGGAGGAGCTATAGGAGGACGGGCTCATTGTAATGGCTGGAATGGAATAAATGGAACGGTATCAAATGGTATCAAACCACGTTTGACTCCATTCCATTAATTCCATTCTAGCCATTACAATTAGCCCGTCCTGCTATAGATCCTCCCACCTGTCTCCACTGCTGGCTATTTGATCATAATGTAGGCCTACCAGAGTGGCCTACCATCAAAAACAATGGAGAAAATGCATCCCATAACATTTTTACATGAAAATAGCTGTTCTATCATTCAGCCCACAGTAGCAGCCAATGTAAGGTGTTCATTGTAGGCCTACATTCCATGAGACTTTTTGGGGAAAAAACATGCAGGGCTTGACATTAACCTGGTTATCCACTTGTCCTTCAGACAAGGAGTTGACTGAAAATGCTGTTGTGTTGTTTTGATGAAAGAAACCACTTTACAAAATAAAATGCATTATTATTCTCATACCAAGTTATGCTACCCTCTGCCTATTGGCTACTTAGCTTATTCAAGCCTGTCTCTAAATACAACACTGCCCCTTTAAGGCAAAAAAAAGCTCTTTACCTGACTCGCTTTTCAAGGATGTCTAAAAATGTATACATTTTGTGCTCTTGTAGGAAGCAATCACTTCTATTGCTGACCTCAAATTATCTATAACTGGGCTAATAACTCACTAACTAGCAAAGGATATGAACAAAATGTGCACACGTGACTACATGCAGCTCTCGCTTTGATCTCAAAACAAGGTTATCTACTCATGACCGCTCATGCTGTAAACACAGTCCAGTTCAAAGTAAATGGCACAGATCCATATATGTCAATGGTCTATTTGCAAATAGGCCTACTGCAGCTCTGATTGGTTATGCCGCACCTTCTGTGTAGAGTACGGGCTGAGTCGTGCATGTCAATGCAATAGAATCCTACTCCGATGCGTTCTGCCTACAACAAAATCTCTTGCATGGTTTGTTTTGTTTCAGTATGATGCATTGAAAGTGGCTATTGCGTTGATTTGATCACAATTGCCACAATAAAGGGAAACGTTGATAGTGTTAACAGGGAAAACTCTAGAACAATGGTCACCAACCATTTCTGAGTCAAGATCAATTTCAAAATGCAAGCCGAGGTCTACCGCTCAGACTTAAAAAACGTAAGCTTATGCAACATTTAACCAAATAAAAACAGTACTGTAGCAATGAGGTTTGTGCAGTAAGCTAATAGGTCCAATACATTATCACAGAATATTGGCTTTGCTTGAATAGCCCTGCCAATGCATTGTTGTTCGGGACATTTTTAAAAATTATATAAAATAAATTGAGGTAGGCTATATAATATCACCGGTAATAGATCAGTTATTGTATTACTTGTGAGGCACAACTGAGTGAGAAAACATTTAAATAATTTGTATTTTAGTGGGCTAATGGTCTGCATCTGATGGTCAGTCTCAGCGGAGGGAGAGAGCAGCAGATTGAGGGTCCGCTTCTCAACGTCCCTCTGCTCTCCCTTTCCTCCACTGACACTGACCAAAAAGGGACACCGTCTTCCAGCTGATGGCGAAACTCGAGTCGCACCGCATTATTTCTGCCTCATGCACAAATTCATGTTGTTACTCCTATGAACAGAGAAAGTGAAATATTCCTTGATATTAATTAAAAAGACCCAAGCCGCTGATAATAACAACCACTCAAGCACATCAATGCACTTTCCTACTCATTCATTACTGCTGCAGAGCTTGTTGTAGCGCTGAGTGGAAATAGGAGGAACGTGCATTTTATGGCTTATGAAAGTGTTGAATACAAAGTACCTGTAGCTCAATTGGTAGAGCATGGCGCTTGTAACGCCAGGGTAGTGGGTTCGAACCCCGGGACCACCCATACGTAAAAATGTATGCACACATGACTGTAAGTCACTTTGGATAAAAGCGTCTGCTAAATGGCATATTATTATTATATTATAAAGTGTTGACAGTGCTGAGTAAGAACTTAAACATGAACACACTCATAAAAATAGCAGCTCTTTGCTGTATTCATTGACAGTCTCTCTCAAGTCATGGTTTTAAATGTTTTGAAATCTCACAGTATCAACTTTGCTGTAGATTTCTTTTATGTCTGCTACATTACTGCAGACACGTTAAGCTGAGCCATCCGATTGGCCAGCGGTAGGCCTATAGTGCACTTGATTTGCTCTCCGGGCCTGCCGGGAAGGCAGAGTTTGTACCTTCAGACACATGAAATGGTTCAAAATGGGAACAGTTCGCCTACCCGTTGTGCAGGGCAGCTGAATCGGGTACACCTACCGCCAACAGCTCGAGACCAAAAAAAATAAAATAGGAACACAAGGCTTTATCATTAGGTTTTTTGCAGAAATGTTTAGCGATCGACTAGGAATGCCTTGGCGATCGACCAGTCGATTGCTTTCGACCGGTTGGTGACCACCAAGTTGAGTGAAGTTCAATCTTGTGCTTCTCTCTGTGGGCTGATATTTCTTCTGTGTGGCAGTCCTGGGGGAGCTGTGTGGCAGTCCTGGGGGAGCTGTGTGGCAGTCCTGGGGGAGCTGTGTGGCAGTCTTGGGCTACTGCGTGCCCACGCACGCGCGCAGTTTAGAGGGAACATTGGCTGTGTGTATGTGTGAATGCATTTAGGATTGAGATTGACTCTCCGCATACAGTCAATGGTGGGTTCTCTTCTGTCAGTCTGCGTATGCTTTAAGTTACAAGTGTAAGTAAGCCTGTCTGAGACAGACAGGCAGCGGTAGTCATGTGAGGGATGTCCCACAGCTGGCTGCGTGCCAGGAATCAGACTCAGATAATGCCCATGTGGCTGGGGGATAGGTAACCATTATGACCCATTGCTGCAGCGGGTGCTGCGGCAGGAGTTTGGTTCACAGCCCATGAAATTGCACCTTACGCTCAATTGTCCACGGTGAGGGGGAAAGAGGGAGGAATTGTGTCCAGGGATTAGGGATCAGAGGGATTTTAAAGTCTGATCTGCGGGAGCAGGTCCGGGTCGGGTGGGTGGAGAGGGTTCAGGGCTGGATTTGTGATTTGGAAACATGTTTTGTCTGCAGTTAAGGGGTCGGCACCAAATGGAGACCCCTTTTAAAGTAAATCTTCCTAAAAGTGACTACCACACCTCATCCATGTTCCCCAGGAGCACTGTGGGAAGAGAATGGGTGGCAGTGGCGAATTCTTCCATCTCTGTTTTTAGCTGGGCTGAGCTGAGTTGTGCGGAGCAGAGGGGCTTGAGAGAGGCTAAATATAGCACCCCCTCGGCTTGCGAAAGCCTGGACGCATGCAGGGCGCGAGGGACGTCTGCGTTTAAGACGTGATAATGCTCCGTTCATTTTGGAGCAGGGTAAGTGGCATTACTGCATTAAGGCGTGATAAAAAGGTCAGGGGATGAAGTATTCTCTGAAACTACCAACCACATGCCTCCCCCTCCCCATTTGTCCTGCCCAAACAGCAACTGAGTGATTCCTCACGAGGACAAAAACATACCATACTTTTGGGGATTTTCACAATATTTAATCCATAGAATGGTCCTTTGGAGGAAGGATTGTTGACATATATTTGACATTTGTATATAAAAGCATAATTGAGAAATAATGAATCAAAGTTGCCATATTTATGACGTTTTGGCCTTACCCAGGCCTCCTTTAAAACTCCATAATGTTTCATCTGTAGGTGCTAAAAAGCAAAAATTGTTGTCATATGAAGTTTTACGCTTGCTCTGTAATATGAGTCGCATTTTGATTTCAATAACAATTTTCTTATATTTATTTATATATTAATATTGAAAAATATAAACATACATATTGAAAATAAACCATTTTTGATTTGGCATATGTATCAATAAATTGTTGAACATAATATACTCTACGGGCATATCAAAGTTCCAGAGTGGGATCTCTGCTAGTTTTAAAGTTATGGCCCATTTTATACAGAGAAATTGGCATAGGTGATGTAACCAATAACAGCCCTCCTTTTACTTGTATCATTGCACATCCTGCAAATTAGCAGCAGAGGCCGACCATTTTGAATCCATTTTCACATTAATTTAGTTGGTAATGCTTACAAATTGGATCATAACTCTAAAAGTAGCAAAGATCCCACTTTGGAACTTTGATATGCCCATAGAGAATATTATGTTCAACAATTATTTCTTTGTAGCACCTACAGATGAAACATTATGGAGTCTTAAATGAGGCCTGTCATAAATATGCCAACTTTAATTATTTCTCAATTATGCATTTAGATGCTAATGTCAAATATATGTAAACAATCCTTCCTCCAAAGGACCATTCTATGGATTAAATCTAATGACAATCCCCAAAAGTATGTTTTTTTGTCATGGTTTCACAAGGAATCACTCAACTGTGATCCAGTGAGGCTCCAGACCAAGCTCACCTG